GGCGGGGCGAGGAGCGGGTGTGGGGGCAGCAGCTACGCGCCAGGCTGGGCCGGCGGTCGGCCTACCTGTCTGCGCCCACACCGTCGCCACGTCCAGCTTAAAGCTGCCCAACAATTTGTTGGCCCGCAGAAGGTTCCGTGACTGAAGCACCTGGCACAACAAGACACGGCCGTCAGCCCAACCGAAGGAACGCAACCAAACCAACAGCAAATCGGACAAACTCTAGTCCTGGTGGGCGGCGGCGGAAGCGGCGGTGGCGGCGGCGGCGGTGGCGGTGACGGGACGGGACGGGACAAGGAACGGGATGGAAAGCGAAGGAAATGTGAGTCAATACAAAAATATTGGTTACTTGTGGAATTTGAATTACAACAAACGTTTTGTACCTCAAAACATACATTAGGATATCTGACCAATTTCGAGATAAGCTCTAAACTTAGAATATTGGCGGTATTTTTCAACAAGTAAGCTACTTACGAAAGTTACTGCCTTTTCATATTTTTTATTAAAAAATACATGTCAGTAATTCTACAAAATATTCATTAATAGTACTTTTAATTAAAGTCGACATGCAATGTGAAGTATGATGGTAATTATAAATTACCAGGATGTGTATGGCTCTGGCTCCTTATGAAACAATGAATTAGAGTTCGCAAATGTCATCACGGAAGCTTGAGATAGGAATATACTCTCTGTTTGCGTAAAAATGACAAGCTCAAAGTCAGGATCAAGGTAAGTTCAAACAACATCAAGATAAACTGCAGATTTACTAATTCAATAAAGCATAAATATGAATGGAGGGGTTATTTTACAAAATGTAGGTGCTGAAATAGTGATGATAAATGTGTGATAATTGAAATATCAGTAACCATTTATTACTACTCAAAAAATGTTTACATAGAATTTTGTAAATGTGTAATCATTATATTTGTTCATATCTTAATGAGATGAATGAAATAATTAATGTAATTAAATAACCCAGGTTTAGCATTTTATCATGACATTAAATTTTCCGGTGTGACAGACTAAATTAGTTACATTCTTTAATTTCAAATGGAGTAAAATCAATGTTATTACTTTACATATTTAGTTTCAGTCTTGTTAAAAATTCATTAAGATGAAATATTTCCACTTTGAAAGTAGAGTCGAAATGTTTATGGACTCTTGCAGATGAGGGAATATACGATATTGAGGATAAAATTGTGAAACGGAATAGCAGCAACAAAACTTCGAACTTTAAACTTATCGGTGTGTACTTATGCTGGGTTCATAACAACCTCGTACTGAACGAGAGCAACGTCATATCTGGAGAGCGGAAACATGAAGCCAGATCACATTATCCGGTAGATGGAGAGCCAGTTAATTACACGAGGCATTCTCTATGAATCAATTTCCATCTCGTCGGATGGATAGTCTTAGCCAATTAACATCAGAAATTATCTAATCCACAATAACGTAAGGCTGGTCTTCATGATCGTAAATTCATTTATGCCTGGGTTAATCTCGATAAAATTCATTTTACAAACATTTTTTCTTAAAGTTTTAAACAGTTAAAGGAAAACACCTTTTTTTTAAAAAAATGCATTCAAAATATTAAGAAAATTAATGACTATGTCCTAATTATGAAGAACTCTTTATCATTTACAAATATTCTAAGGATATGCATTTAAGTATCTCACGAATCTTTATCATTTGAGAGGAGGATTAGAACGCGTTATTGTTTGTATTTGTCGTTCCTCAACTTTCTACTAAAAGGCAAATAGTTTCTCATAAAAGGAAAATTGATGCGGAAAGGACAGAACGCCACCGCTCTCGCTGCACTCCACAGCCTTTCAAACACATAACAGGCCATACCACGGCAAAGAGAACAAAAAAAAATTAAATAAAGAAGAGAAAAAAGAAGACATGGCAAATAAGTGAGATAGAGAAAGGAGGCAGGCAGGCGCAGACGGAATGAGGAATACCAGCTTGGGCGTGCACGGTGCCCACGTCCAGCTTGAAGCTGCCCACGATGCACCCGGCGCAGAGCAGGCGCCTGGAATGCAACACCTGCAGACAACGGGACACGGGCGGCGCGCGTCATCGCCGGCGACTGCCACTGGGAGCGCGGCAGGGGTTCGTTTTGATTGCAAGGTACCACCGGGTGACAGAGCACTGGGAGTCAGGCAAGGAGTGGGAGACGCTTGCAGGAGTACATTTTGATTGCAAGATTCCACCAGGTGACAGAGCACTGGGAGTCAGGCAAGGAGTGGGAGACGCTTGCAGGAGTAAATTTTGATTGCAAGATTCCACCAGGTGACAGAGCACTGGGAGTCCGGAATGGAGTGGGGGACGCTTGCAGGAGTAAATTTTGATTGCAAGATTCCACCAGGTGCCTGAGCACTGGGAGAGTTTGGCAAGGAGTGGGCGACAGTTGCAGGAGTTAATTTTGATCCAGTTTATAGAGGTAGCGGAGAGGATAAAAATATGTGGACTATTTTCATTAGTCTGTACTCACAGCAATGTAGTATAAATGTAGGGGATCGAGAATAGGAAAAATGTACATTAGGTAAGTGGGATAATTATTGAAATCGATGGACAACTTGAGAAGGAATGTGTCCTTACGTGTGTAAATGGATCAGTGGTCAAAGTGAGACTTCTCAGGAAGATATAGGATGTAAGTATTGTCAACAGGAGGTTACACCAAAACGAGCAAGCTCCACTAAAACATGGCAAATCTAGCAGGATTATAGGATGAAACAATAAAGATAGTATCCCCTTTGTAAACAGAGTAGGAGAGGAAAAAAGAACTAAGTCAAACATTGTAAGTGGTTCTAAACTATACTACACAGTCACAAAAGAAAACAGACATTTACAGGTAAATGTAAATATGTTCTTCAGCTGTTAAATAAACACCTGTTAACTTACGGCACATTGCGAAAATATTACATAAAAGTGTACATTAAGTTTGGTGTTTTTCTTAAAAACAATTTAAAAAATACTGTGTTATCTTTTCATATTGGTTGTATAGTTAAGAATATTGAAAATTTCTAAAAGTGCAATGCTTGTAATGTTGATCATTTATCATTACATTTGTGTTGGCTAACTGGCCTATCACTGTAAGTGAATATCTTTTTTAAAGCAAGTGAAATAAGCTATTAGTATTGTATTTGTATTTATTAAAAACGTTTATAACGTTATAACGTTTTTTTAAACGTTTAAAATGTTGGTTGATAATTGTGGTAAATAATGAATAATGAAAAGCATAATTTTAACTTTAGTACTTGAATTTATCTGTGTTATAGCTTATTCCTCTAATGAGGTTAAAACTTTCGTTTAATTTTACTGAAGAAATTCTACACATAAACAAAACGAATGGCCGATATCAACATTTTAGACCAGAATAATCTACAAAGAAATCAAACAGAAATCTATTTTTAATCAATAAGTATTTATCTTTTAAAACACGTTACATCAAAAATTTATGACCATTTAAACCGTATAACGTTGTCTTGCCAACTCTCATATAAAAATTTCCTCCATTTCAGGAACACTATTCTTTTCGAAGAAAAATATTAACTTCACCAACATTGTTACCAAAAAACTGTGTATCGTTAGGCATGGAAATTATATTTCATACATAATATATAACTCAAATCAGAGCGTCATAACTTTTCGAACCACTCTATTGTGCACCTTCACTTATTTATATGGCTAAAACATAGCTTTCGCTGGGATATGCATTGTTTTGAAGTGCATATATTTTGCTACAATGTCTAAGGTGATCAATAATTTGAGTGTATCGAATTATTCAGAACGATTACTTTTAATACAACTTAAATACAATTAAGTTTTCTTTATCCCAAGAACATATATCTCTCTATGCGAAAATCTCTACAATACAATAGTCTAACAATTGTCGATTACAATAATACAAAGGTTTATTTAAATTACAGACTTTTAGCAACTGTCTATTTTATAAATCAAAAGTATTTCTTTATAAGTTCAAATATACTTTTCTTTCAATTACGTATACTTTGTTAATTGTTCAATCATGATAAATACTAATGTGAATACATACTCATACTCAATGAAGCAAATATACATTGTTAAATGTATTTCAATTGTATTTGAAACACGATGAATAAATGTGTGTATACGTACTCCATTTTCATACTTAAGCGAATGTACACCATAAAGTAGTACGCCAAACATAGTTTTTAATGATATTCAACGGGTTAAATAAATAAATAAATAAATAAATAAATAAATAAATAAATAAATAAATAAATAAATAAATTAATTAATTAATTAATTAAAAAATAAATTGATAAATAAATTTAAAAAAATAATTAAAGAAATAAATAAATTTTAAAAAATTAAAAAAAAATAAGGCGAGGGACGTCTCTTGGGGCTTTTTGTCCTCTGCTTGTGTAGGCGAATTGCTCTTTGGCTTCCACTGCATGAAAAACGAGGTATGTAAAAATGAAGGGTGAATGATGATGAGAGTCGTTTGAGATACTGGGAATCGTGGTGGTTTGAGAAGGCAAGCGTGACACATTGGCGCATACATCGATCCATACGCGTGTCATCAAACCTTCATGACCTCGTCCTTGGCGTTCCTTAGCCATGGAGGCCGTAATATTGACACGGCCCACGCGAATCCTCTGAAGCGAGAGAAACTGTCGGGTTAAATTTCATTCGAAATTGAGATTTCCAAGAGACTCTTTTAAGGGGTGCGTAACTACTGATAACGGCAGTCCTTCATTGAGCCCTGTCAAGAGGAGATCCGATTTCTTTAGAACAAGTTTTAACGAGTTTCTCTCGCCTTCAGTGTCCAAAATGAATAGAATGGACTCCAAGAGACCGTCTCTCGCAAAGATGGAACAAAAGAGTTACAAGTCCTTGGAAATTACGGATAATAACATCATGATAAAGTAAATACAAGTTTGGTCTAGGATATATATTCATACATTTGTTGTATATAATTTAAAAAACAACTCATTGTATGTCATCTTAATGAGCAAAAAAAATTCAGTTTTGGAGTTTTAATATTTTCTTGATTACTCTTGAGAGCACTAAACTGATAATTTTCTGATTATATCTGACAAAGGACTTATTTTTTTAAACTGATAATTTTGCTATATTTATCTGGATATTATTTTTACTTATGTTTATTTTCACTTAAATAAAGTTCGTTCATTAAAACTAAACGTTTGGCCATTAGTTTGTTTGTGTCGAATTTCAATGCTCATTTCATGGATAAAATTCGTCCTCTCAGTAAATTGAGTAGGATGTAAAACAGACTAATTCCATTACAACATTGTGCTGAAAGCCAGGGTATTGATTACTCAGCGATTGAATCTCCCACTTTCTCCACCCCTCACGCCCTGAGGGTTGTTTATGTTTTTCACACCCCTGCATTTTCACTGTGTCGCCCCGCACGCTTCGGAGGCTGGGGGTCAGGGGACAAGCTGTTTCGCTGCTGTTGGCACGTGTGACTGTTACGCGTCTACGCTTCCAAAAATTAATTGAATTGTTCGGCAAATTCGCGGGCAGCCCTGCGCCGGCCGTTGTGCACTCACCGACAGCGTGATGATCTTGTCGAAAAGCATGACGGGAGGCATGTGGAAGTCAAACACGAAGTACTGAAACACACAGAAAACAATGCAAGGTTGTGATGCGTGCCCAGTAAATTCAGGGTTCGCCCTGCCTGTGCACATATTGGATTTTGAGGATACGAGTTCGTGACATGGCATCAGTTTCAAAGACTTTGCCCTCAGACAACCCACGTTTGTGAAAAAGGTAAATGAAATATTTCGTACTTACCTTCAAGATGAGTATTTTTATTAATATTGGTACAAATATTCAGAAACGTACCTCAATAAATTGATATATTTTTACTATGACTATTCACTCATTGATATATTTTCACTATGAATTAAAGAGTGTGAGATTTCGAGAATTACTAATTCGAGACGCAATGCCTGGTGATTTCATTATTTTTTGATGAAAAAAGTGTCTTTAATTATTCAAATATCAGAATCTACAAGGACCTCCTTCTCGAATTAAAATTCAGATTTGAGTAGTGTATCTCGGTGAATTTAACTGTTGGCTTCTTGTCATTGACAGTACAAAAATTTATCGATACCATTGGTTTTACAACAAACCAGTAAAACTTGCATTTAAGTAACTTGATAAATTGAAACGGGTGCTCGCCTTTTACATAATGAAAACTAGTAGTGCTAGAGAATGGCTCAGACTTTCCCGTATTAGTTTTCTATTACCTTTGGCCCTGGCTAGCTTTTCCGACTTGGCACATAGCCTTGCCAGCGATTATTTATCGCCGCCCAAATTACATTTTTTTGAAATTGTCTTAATCTTTAGGATTCCTTATAGTAGAACGGAAATATTATTCTAAGAATATTAAACATCAGTGAAACCTCGCAACAAAATGACAATTTTATTTGAAACATTTGAAGCCGTTTTTAAGAAAATGTCGTTTAAGTGCCACTATAAATTCGAAATTTGACGTTCTTTTTCACAGCAATATTCATACCAAAAGTTTAAAGAAAAAAATAATTTTTTTTTACAAAATCGTTTTTTTGTTGTTTTCTAAAATTGCACATATTGCACGCAATATTGCGCAAAAATTACTAAAACTTTCAAAAATGTACATAACCTTAATGAAAGAATAATTATGGAAAACAAATTTAATTTAAAGGAAAACTCTCTACAATTTTGTAGTTGTAGAATGACGCCCGTAAAATACCAATTTTTGGAAATTTTCAAAAATTAACCATGAGTTAATCCTAAAAATTGGACCTGTGCCACCTTTGTAAGTGTATTTTACTCTATTCTTACAACAAATTTAAAGGAAAAATTTGGAGCTGTTTTTGAGAAAATGTCCGATAAGGATAATATATACTACCCCCAAAAATTAATGAATGTTTTTCAAAATCACAGTTTGGAGTCTGGCCAGATTCTTAAGGGTTTATTCAGATTTGATACAATCGCTTGCATAGTTTAAGTGCTCGGTTGTTCACATACAGGCTCACATACTCAGTTGTCCACAGGGACAGATGGACGGACGTTTTGAAATAAAGCGCTTTTTCGTTATCAGGGGATCCGAGAACGTGTATTTCCGTTGAATTCTCAAATCGTTTTTCTTCAGCATTACATAACTTTCCCTATACTACGTATATTATTCCGTATATATGTATGTATACGCAAAAGTAAAAAGTTAGGGGTAATTGGATGGTAAAACATTAATACACTTTCAATTAAAACATATCAATTGAAGATACTTTTAAAATAAATATGTACCTCTGAAATTATTTTCCGTTAATTGCTGATGTAACTCTAATTTAATAATACTCTTCAACTAATAATTTGCTTTTGAACTTTGAAGAGGCAATAAATCACAAACCTTGAGCAAACCGTCCTATGAAAACAAAATCACATTACTTATACGCGAAGTAACTAAATGAACAAAACGAGTCCGCATTTTCCATTTCCCGACGCAGCCTGGCGAATATCAGCATTTCCGTAATTTAGCGTTGGTGATCTGGTGTAACAAGCGACCTCCGCGATCTGTTACTCGCACCACTCAGGCTAATAAGGTGGTTCATTTTCCCGGAGGATAATGCTTTACTCCCATTAGCAAGGTAATCGAGTTGGTGCGGTCCTCGTGCGAGAGGTCACTCGATGCGGCTGTGCCTGCTCAGTGGCAAGCGGCTAACACAATGCGATCGCCTCCCAATATGGGGAACGGTAAGACAGCCAAGAAAAAGGCAGGAAAGATGTTAGCACATGGCAGTTGGTTTATGATCTATAAAAGTTAGAAACCTGATAAATACAATCTCAGAGAGCATGGTCACTGGATAAGAACATGATATCAGCTTTCCGTATAGCCACCTGTAGTAACCTGTGTTATGTTCGTCTGTTCGTCACACTGGGTTAAATCCCTTACGGTTTCCGTTCGGGACGAGGGAGATCGTTCAGATTGTCAAGATTGTTTCAAAGGTTCATGTTTCTTGGGGGTACATAATTCGAATTTCATGTTTGTCTCCTGGAAAAAGAAGTCTTCAGAGAGAAAATGGCAAAAATACAAATTTTGTCCTTTTTCAACTTTTTCACTTATATCTAAAAAATATATGTTTTATCAAAACAGTATTTTCAAAATTAAAGCTGAAAAAATTTTCTTCGAAAGCAGATATTAATTTAAAATTTCTTCAAAACTGCTTTAGTTGCTAGAGAGTGCTAAAAAAGGGTGTATTTTTGTCTTCAGGACAGAAGGGAAGAATTATTCTTTCTTGCCTTCCTATGGTGAAAGGTGGTGCTCTTTCACTTTACGGCGGTGAAAAATAACTATTGCGAAGAATTGTTGGCATTATTAAATGATGAACTAATAGATATTAATGAAACCAGTAGGGACATAGAGGACATAGGGACAAGCTCTAAAGAGGTAAATGTAGATTAGTTCACGCATATTTAAGAAGGTACAAACGTGTGCATTTTTGTAACTAGATCTTACGATTTTGCGCGCAACGATTGTATTTATGATTTTTAAGTTCGAACTTGTAATTGATTTGAATCTTAATCGTGGGTGACATTCTCGAATATATTCTGGGCCTTTTCTAGCATTCATTGCACTGCATTAATTGCCACACTGCGGGTGAACGGAAAACTGCAGTACCCTGAGGCGTACTTCTAGGCGAAGTGAATCCAACATTTCGGGTTCACCATTACATAGCAATCTTTTGAGGTGATTCAGTAAAAGCCAGCTCATGCAAAGTAAGATCGACAATTTCAAATTTACAATTTGTGAAGGAAAATAAGCGAAGACCGATGCAGAGTTCTATGAGTTGCTTGTAATAGAGGTGTCTAGTTTAACATTTCTAGTAGTTGAATTGAAAGAATGCAATAACTGCGTGATTCGAATTGTTAATCACGCATTTATTAATTATTCTTTCTGATTTTCATTCAGAAGAAAGAAAATTGAGTAACGGAAAATATATATTTGAAAGGAAACAATTTTTTGTAAATTCACTTACAAGGAATTGAATGAAAGGAAATTGAAGTGGATTATCTTGAATCTTATATAGTTGCACCACCTTTGGAAGAGTTTTTGTATATCTGCGTTTTACCTGGTTTTTGAAGATTTTTTACACTGAATACCTACTTCTTATATTTTCAATTTGGATATCCCTTATATCCGGTTTTTGAATAATTTAATTTGGTTACCTGCGTGTTTACATCACTGTTTTACCCTTCTGATGGCGTTTCAAAGGTTAGTACTGACGTGTGAGCTTTAGATTATTCTAATCCTAATGTTGTAAAACTAAAATATGTTAATAAACTAATGTATGTATTGTATGTAAAATATGTTAAATAATTCTTCATTAATTACAATTTAATATTAAGAAATGTATATTTAGTAGCTATATTTTAGGACTTTCCAAAGATATTTGGTTCTTTTTCAAATACATTACGAAACTTATTTGATATCTTTTAAATAGAATAACACACTCGAGTTACATTGGTAACACAATTGTAACGATATTGGAAATAAAATATAATTTTAAAGCCACACTGATGAATTTTCTATTCCATTATCATCTTTTATTTTCATGTGGATAAGAACGTGATCTATAGATATGACAGGGGATATAAGATTGAGTGGGACGCTATGTCACGCAACGTGATTTAGTCAGAGGGATGGAAAGTTACGTCGAATCAAGGAGATGCGCATTTCGTAACCACTATCGTAGGGTCCATGATTTTGTAGCAGGTGACGAAAGCATTACAGACATGAAAATGTCAAGGAAGGTTAAATTACAATGATCAGTTTGATATTGCAAGCCCTCCTTGTACTATTTTTTTACTGGTAAATGCTCTCAAGTTTTTCAACGAAAACACCCGACGAAATACAGTAAACCTTCACGCAATGCAAGAGGGTCTAATTCTGCTTTGAATGTGCATTTCGGACATTTGTTTACAATATTATTTCGCATCTCTGTTTACCACAATGTGCTCGGTGGTCGACTAAATTTTACCTTAATACACATAGTAAATTTTATATTTCATAGCAGGAATAGCGTCTTAAATCACACACATTGAAGCATAAGTTTTAGAACTGCTTTTTAATATTTCGCCTTTACTTTGTAAGAAGATAAGTAGAAGGAATTGAAATCGTTTGTCGAAAAATAGCAATTTTAACCGCAAAACTCTTATTGTTGGACCCTGGTAACCGAAAAACCAAATCAAATTACTTCTTCTAACATGTTAGTACTCAGATTCCATGTTTTGTAGGTCCTTGATACATGAATATTGATTTTCAGAAAACAGATATTTTGGATGGCCGTTCTCTGCATGTCTGTAACTATGTCCGTTTGTTCGTGGTCAAAGCTAGTGGCAAAATCGTTCATTCAATTTTTCTCAAATTGATATCCCGCGATAATTTGAAAGAAACTCGAAATCCTCTGAGTTTGAAACTGATATTTTGATTTTAGGTTACATTACATGACGCCGCTACATTTTCAATTTTTGTCTCAAAAATTACTAAAAGTTTTTTGATTAAACTTTTTCCTTGGATAGCTTAAAGGATTCTTAACAGAATGGTGAAGGTCTATTGTTCGAAAAAATT